TGTGTATTTTATTTATGTTAACATAAATACAAATAAAAACATTTAATTAAAATGTATTGTCATAGCAATTTTATATTTATATATTAAAAAATATTGTCTCTATGGTGTTCTCCCTGGGTCTAAGATTGCAATAACAATGCATTATTGCAAATTCATTACATTGCAATATTACCGTAATATTTCGTTGCAATCTTTCTAAAAGCGGACATTTTAACGTTGCTGCAATTCCACAGCAATGATGCAACACATTTTGCAGTGAATTTGCAATATTGCAACATTGCGATGAAAGATTAATGCAATGTGTATGCAATCTTTGTGTGCTGTATGGGATAATTCACTATAATAACTTTTAATTATAATAGCAGACATGAGTTTAAAATGTTTATTCTTAAATTAGATGAAACTTGTACAATATTAATATTAGTTATATAATGTCTATAATTTCTATTCTCTCTAAAATGTATACATGAATGAATCTACAAAAAAGTTTATTTTAAAAAATCTATTAATATCAAAACTTTTGTCTTTTATATATCAAAGGTATTTATATACATATATAAATGTTCATTATTTTGTATTCTATTCATAATTGTTAACAAATATTGTGATAATATCATGTTCAATCTCTTTAAGATCGCTCAAAAACGAAGATTTCGAGTAAATTTCTCATGAAAATGTACAACTCTTCCCAAAAGCAAAAAATTTATTTTATACCACCAATTCGCAAAAAAGACTCCAAAGAAAATAAAGCTGGAATTTCACGAGGAAAATTAGTGGACAGATTTCGTAATGATATAAAAATTCATTAATTCTGCTAACAATTTAAAAAAATCAAAAATCAAGCTGAGCAAAAACGTTACTACCGAATACAGGTATTTCTATACAAAAGTAGAATTGCATTTCAAAAATTATTTAAAAATTATCAACAAAATATTGAAGCAATTTTTTATTTTTTTGAAATTCTTTTTTTAAACTTTGTAAAATGTATATACAGCCTTAGAAATTGCGGAACAACACAGGATATGGTTAATCCATAACCAAAATCCAAAGGACGAAGTAATCAAAAAGTGGGACAAGTCATATGAATTGCGTTTACATAATTGCGACAAATAAATTATTTAAAAATATTAATGATATTATAAGAAAGTGGTCGATATTGACTTCGAATTTTGGATACGTATTGGTAATATGCCTAAATTCAAAATAATTATCATAAAAGTTTACAAATTCAGAATTTATATTTTTCAATTACATTTATATATAAAAATGTATAGCTGACGAACATTTCTTTGCGTGTTTGCAGATCGAAAGAGATTTTGAAAGGAAATATCCAGAACATAAAGATAAATTGATTTTATCATGAAACTTGCATTTTGAGAAATTTTACGAACTCTTAAAAAAAAATACTTTCAACAGGAGATCAACTCAATGAAGTTCTTATGCAGTCGCAATCTTTGAATTATGGTGAATATTTGTATTTTTTTTTGCTTAGCCGTTGATATTTATCTATTAAAAGATGATTGTGATTACATGTCTTTAAATATTTAATATTAATAACTTTATAGACAGTAAAACAGTTCTTCAGATCTGGATTTTAGTAGCTATCTTAGCTCCTAGATCAACAAAAGTTAATATAAAATCCGGAGATCGCAGAAGAGTTTGGAAAGCTACAATTTCTGAAAGCTGAGATGGCTTCTTGTGCATTGCAAGGTTAATTCAATAATATGTACAGTTGCATATACATATTGAACAGTACGACGGGTTGCGCGGCATACTTTACAGGGATAGGCGCAGTTCAATGGGTAATGACAGCATATATGGTATACGTACCATCATAACTTATTGATCGAATTGATTGCGCGCATTTTTACTAATTTTGAGTTTACAGCGTTTTAATTATGACGGACTTGAATAATCGTTGCGATTATTACTAGAGAAGCTAAAACACATTAAAGATAAAAAATTAAATTTTAGAAAGTTGACACGTTAAAATAAACAAATATGATACAACAAAATTTCTTTCTTTACCGCTCTATCAAAGCATTTACAACGCTAACACGCGCGAAAAGTAAAGCGGTAAAGAAAGAAATTTT